CCCTTAAAGATGGGATATACGAAATCGTAATATCACTGGTTTAACATCGAAATCCGTGAGTAATATAAAATCGGAGAGCGGAATAAATATATCAAATATTTTAATGGATTTTTTAAACCCCTGTCAACTATACAGAACTATCGTAAAAACATACCAGTAAATTCTTATCGGTTGGGTTAAGCTATATATCTACTCGTTATTCACGTAATCGGCCAAATATCAAGCGGGCGGGCGGCTAACAACCCAGAACCGGTCCGGGATAGAATTGGAAGCGTTATATGTGTAGCATCAACCTAAGGTCGTAGGCTTCCACCGGCTAAACCGGGTGAGGTTGGTGCTCTGTAAAGCGCATGCTCAAATCTGATTTTTTGGAATCTGATAATACAGAGATTCCACTCCGCCACTAATATTCGAATATACAATAGCAATTTTATTATTTTTTTCACGTGTAGTATAGAAATTTGTAATAAGATACATAATTCGGTTATAATAAAATATTGTGCGATTATTTTCATATAATTAAAATTAATATTTAGTTTTTATAAAATACAAGGGAAGCGGCACTTCCACCGCTTCTAATGACGGCACGCTACTGGATTTGTTATTCGATTTCAGCACGAAAGGTCATAATAATTGTCTTTCGGGACAGGAAAGCGATTTTGTTAGTAGATTTTATGCCATGAGGCACAACAATCAATTCTGATGCTTATTGTGTGACCTTCAGAAAACTTCGCCGTGCCATACAAGACAAGCGGCGTGGCCTAATGTCTTCCGGCGGCAGGCGGCAGTTTCTTTGAGTCAATTTAAAAAATTTAAAAGCGGTATGACAAATGTTTGAACAAAAATGAAAATTATGTAGAAAAGTAGATAAAAGTATGTAGAATATGGGAAAAAAATATATTTTAATGATATTTACAGTATTTTTTTTCTTATTAAAAAACGGACCTTATTTAAAAAATAGCCCTCGTATTTGACGAAAACTATAAAAAATTTATACATTTAAAAAAAATTTTTTATGAAATCTTTCGTCGTAAGTCGAGGTGGTCGTAACTCGAGAAGTGACTGTAGATCATTTTAACTTAATGTATTGATTCTGCACGTACGTATGTCGTATTATCGATATTAATATCGATTTTTAAAATAATACTATCGCACATTACTGGTTAACTTTGTATCTGGCTGCGCAGTAATATAGGTAACACTACACCCGACCACACAATAGTTATTTTTTGAGGTTTTATGTGGCAGAAAGCTGTGGTTCATTACCACAGGGAGAAAACAAGCACCGCGTTTCAGTACGTATCCAACCCAAAGACGCACGTGTTTTCCCGAAGCAGTTTTCTTTGCCTGCGTACAGGTGGCGCTCAACTCAGTTCCATTAGCTCCATAGCAGGGGTGTCCAACCCGCGGCCCGCGGGCCGCATGCGGCCCAAGGCAAGTTCCAATGCGGCCCAATAAATGTATAAACAAAACCGACAAATGTTTTAATTTTTTATTATTTATTTATTTCAACGGCATAAACTCAGAAAAGAAATTTCACAAAGCCATNAATAATGTATTAATAATCATATATAAATATATCTAAAATTGATTTTATAAATGGTATTTCAAACATCAAAATAGAATTAAAAAAAACAGCTAATAAATGTAATATTTATATTAAACTCTAACAGGCCTAACTATTATAAATTCAACAAATAAAAAGTAAAAATCTTTTCCGGGTCAATTTTTCATCAAAGTCATACATTCGGTATAACATTATTTGACAACGATAATGAAGTAATTGAAATAGCAATAAATGTTTAAACATTGAACTTCAAAATTTCTTAGAATAAAAGATTATTATAAAGGAACGGTTTAGTAACATCATTTAACACCACAGACAAATCAAAAAATGCTTTTATCACAATAATTTTAAAAAACCAAATTCTCCATTCAAATCTATAAGGTGCACTTTTAATGTAAGCAGAAAAAAAAATGTTTTTTTCACACTTTTTTATCGCTCACTTTTATATTATCTACTTATTAATCATACTTGTTTTTTCATGCAAAAACCTCAATATTAGGATTTGAATTAATTTAAATACATATACTATTCCTAAATATATTAATTAAAATAAAATCAAAGGAATCTAAAATAATTACTATCCTTACTTAATTCAATTACAGTATCTTTAGAATGACTTCTCTGAGTTGAACCTATCTTTCTCTCTAGCATTTCCTAACATAAACAATTAAAAAGCCTAGCTATTGAATATTTTTACTTTATTCCAATTGTTATTTTCCTTGAATACACACATTTACATCCTTTTATATCTTTCCTTCAAAATATAATATCCAACAATTCATACAATTTGATGTTTATTTCATCATTTATTGAAATAAGTTGTAATTTACACATTGTGATAAGCATGTATATTTCTTGTGTAAATAATCAACTATGTAAAATTTTAATAAAAGAGTGCTCTGATATAATTGGAAAAAGATTTATAAGATAAACAATTTGAAATGTACATCAAATACATGTGTAATTTTTTTTTTATTTATCTTTTTCACTTATCAAGAGATGTCCTTTTTTACACAGATTCACGAATATACATTTTAGTGATTGACTTGATTTTAAGTAGAAATTCTCTAGATTCGTTACGTAAGTGTGAAATTACCTTTAATTTCTGTCAAAATGGAATTCTCTTGTTTCAAAATTCAAACATCAGACGACATAACGTTGTATTTTGATATGGATAAAAACAAGCCGAATATTCGATATTTTTACAATAGTAAATTATTAATTAAAATATTATTATATTATTATATATAAAACATAATATAATTATTATATCTCTAACATAATAGATTTCAAAATTTCCTGTGTTGTAATAAAAAAAAATTTATTCTCAAGGTAAAATTTACTTAATAGAGAAGTAAACAACTTACGGAATTTATTTATATGATTTTTCTATATACACAGTTTTATAATATATTGAAACATTAGCAGTATCTATAAATTCAATTAATTCTGTATTGCTTTAAAAAATTTTGTTTGTTTATGTTTCTATGGGAAACAAGAATATATAAAAACAAAATTTGAAGTGTTTATACGAAATTGATAAAAATATAAATTTTTTATGGGAATAATTATTATTTATTTACTATATATATTGGTATATAATTATATGCCAACTATTCCTTTAATCGCGAATTCTTTTTATATCATTATATATTGTATATTAAATCTGTTTTATATGATTTTTTTTTTTATGAAGCGTTGTGTAAGCTTGTGCTTCCACTAAGAATATCTTGAGAAAATTTTCGTATTGTATTCTTTTTTCTTTCATATGGCGACTCTACCAGTAAACAAAAGTCGGCCTTTGTATCATATTAAATACTGGCCTTCTAAAATAGTCTCAAGTAAATATGCCAAGCCGATGTTTTAAGAATATTGCCACCTTGCCTACAGAATACGTGTCAAATAAAAATTCTTGAATGACAAAATAATCTTTTGAAGAATGGTTAAAAGTATAAATTAAAAACCGTAAAATAGTATTGTTTCTGGTTCACTGTCCGGTATATATTCCCGATTCAAAATATTTCTTACAAGAAAAACGTCTATTTTTATATTTTGTAAGTTGTACTAGAAATTTGATACCACTTTGAAGAATTTGAAAGATCTATGCGGCAATTGCTTGTACACAGTGGCAGATTAAGGACTTTTAAGGCCCTTTTGTGGAATGCCAACCCAGCATAGCCTAATAAAAAGTAGTAACATAGTTTAAACTGTAAGTAAAACTTTTTATAATGAAATACTGTAAGATACACTTTATTTTATTTTTTTTAAACTCTTTCCGCCCTGTGGACATTAAGACGACCTCTTTTTAGCAAGACCCATAATGGAACAGTCGGGTGGTGAGGACGGGACCCGGACGGACAACCCCGAAAAATTTCTGGGGATTTTTCGACCCGTCTGGATTCGATCCCGAGTCTCCCAGAGCGGTAGGCTACCATCCGGTACTAACTGCTCGGCCATCCGGCCTCAAATGCAAGATACACTGGCAACGCAAACGTTCAATTTCAAGTTCATATAATATTAGTTATTATTTTAAACTTACAAAGACTGGTACTATTATTTAGGTATAACTAAGTACGATCTCACTAAAAGTTTTATAATTGAAAAAAATACATATATTACATACCTGTAATTCTAAAATTTCTGTTTTCTGCGCTTTTTTAACTCAAAATCACTAATTATGTCCATGAAGGAAATGCATCAAAGCAGATCGGTCTCCATTGAGATGATGGTTCAGTCAGTGCGTTAAACTACGATTGCTTCGTAGTCTTAGATGAAATTGACTTCTTGCCATCTTGGAGAAGGCTCTCTCGGCTTCTACGAAACTGACTGGTAAGATTAAATAAAATATAAACGTTATATTTACATTTAGAAACATTGACAGAAAATTGCGACATGATTTGTGGTGTGAGACGTATATATTCTTCAGCTTCCTTTACATTTCTCGCAACTTGCAGAAATTGGATCATTTTTTTCGACAAGAGCATCTTCCAGTTTTTGGGTATGTAATAACTACAAGACTTTCAGATGAGTTTTTCTTATTTCATCGTTACTTAAGTTTGTAGGAGAGAAATCCAAATACTTTTTGTATAATACCGTACATTTCTCTTTTCTGTTCATTCGTAAGCATGTCTAAAATGACGTAGAAAGTTTCTATTCGGAATATTCCGAATAGAAACTTTCTAATATTCCACGATGGTAACGATTCTAATAAGTGTTTGCGTTTGCGCACACGTTTCTATACAAACTTAAAAGTCTGCAATATTGAGAAAGCACAAGCTGTCATCATAACCGTGTGATCTGAAAAATGTTTTCTGCATTCTCGTGTATTTTCTTGACTCACTTGTCAGTAGAATGTTAGCATTCGTCCAATCGTAAAACCCAGATTGCGATAATTTGATTTTTGTTGGTGTAAACAGATTGAAAATGGAGCAATTCGATATTTCTGATGGTAGGGGAATATATTAACATTCCCGCTGAACGCGTTCCCCATTCTTCGCTGTCCTGCTGAATAAAACTTTGGTGATATCACGTTTATGTTCAGGAATTGGTCTTAACGATTGAGAAAAATCATCAGTGAAGTTTCGACAGTCTGAAGGACCTTTCTCAGTCGAATAGTGTCTACTTGGTCATTGGCTTTAATAGACCAATGGACGAGATTATATTACTTAAAATTACTCTGGAATTCCCGAATTCTCTTTGCTGTTGGTCAACTTGCTCCTGTTCTTATTGCCAATCTTGTAATTGTTTTACATTAATTTCTGCACTTATTTTATGACTCTTACTGCTGAAACCTAAGTGCCCCCAACAGAATTGTTAGACACGATAAGCATCTGCCTTACCACACCTATATTTGGTGCGCTGAATACGGCAGTGAGACCTCTGCAGTCTGTACCTTGACTACCAGTAGAGTTAGTAGAGTAGATTTATTCTTTTGGTTTTGGTATTAAAAACTTTTCAAATGCTCCTTTCAAACCTTCCTTCTTCTTTCTACTTCAGCTTTCTTTTTCTTCATTTGGTGACCACTTAAATAACGGCGCTTCATGATGACGGAGGAATTAGACAACAGCCTGAAACAGCAAAAATAAAAGCAAAAGCTCAATTGTTTGTAGTTTAAATACAAATTAAATAAAAAGACTACTTGAACCAATGAATAAAAAAGCTAGTATAGATCTGTAAGCTCGTAAGCCGCAACGTTTATGGAGCTCCAAATCACTATGGTTGGTAATGCCGGCATACCACAAATGTACGCAAGTTTTGTGAGGGGGATGCCACGAAATTTATAATAATTGGCGTTTTAGTGAATATCGCTTTCTCCCTTCGGTCGTCAGGTGGTAAAAAGATGAAAGACAAATGAAATTTTTTAAAAAGTTAGATTATTATTAGTGTAATAAGATAACTTTTTTACTTTCTCTCTGTTATACTGTATGTAACGGCCGGGAAAGTAAAAAGAATTAACTTAATACGAGACTAGTGATAAACATTATTAGTCTCGTGATTATAGTTCATTTGTACAAAGTTCCATCTTTACACTTTTTAAGTTAATTTTTAAGAAAAAAATTATTTTCGTTAGCGAGATGTTTTGTCTTCGTTGTTTCATATAATCAAACAAATCTAGCAACGAGTTGCGTAACTTTTCCGGCCGTTATTTTTAAAATAGAATATTATCAACCAAACTATATAAAATTGTGTATGGCGCCATCTGTTATGAGATTTTGTTGTAAAAAACTTTATATTATTAATTATTATTAATATTGTAATTTATGCTTCTAACACAATAAAGTGCTATAAATTAAGACACTTGACCGCCAAGTGTCTTAATTTATAGCACTTTATTGTGTTAGAAGCATAAACAAATTGTAAAGCACGGTTTCATATCGTCAAAATATTATAATTATTATAATATTAATTAGCAGGGGCTTGCCGTAACATTTGATGATAGGGAAGCTGTGTTTCTGTAAGAAGCCGACATCCAGGGACAATCAGTCAATTGCGCGTCAGTGACGGTCTAGGGCAGGGGTGGCCAAACCGTGGCGCATGCGCCAAACTTGGCGCATTGGACGATTACAAGTGGCGCTTTAGTCAGTTCTGAGCAACATTGCCAGATTTGGCTTCTTTGCAATTAAGAATATTACATAGAAAATTAATTTTTTATAGTCTGTCTTGGCAAGTTCATTTGTTGCACAATTCGTTGCAATCAACTTTACAGATAAAATGAGTGTTCTCCACATAGTAAATTACAGTGTATGCATGTATGTTTATTTTCGATCAGTG